TAAACCCGTTCAGTCTGAGTTTATTAGTGATTATTTTCACTGGCATCAGGGAATTTTATATTTATAAACGAAAAGTTCAATCCTGAAACAAAAGTTTATGATGAAGAGTCTGGTGCTCCTGATTCGGTCACACTAGATGAAGACCTCACGGTGCACCAACCTCTATAGTGGTTTATAGGGAAGTGAATCTTAGAGCAACTCACGATTTGATTTGATTCCGATTCTTTGGGGTGCTGATTCGATTCAGAATCGATTCTCGATTCTCAATTTAAATCGATTCACAATCAGTATTAACAAAGAGTGTCAGCTCCAGGATGAACTACTTTGTTGTACAAGTTAGTTAAAGCTATGGGACATTTTTATTTGACTTTAAACTGGTCGTGCTCCAAAAATGCAAATTTACAATAAACTAAAGTGATTCTAAAACTGTAAACAAACAATCTTTTGACCAAAAGGCAACATTTATTTTTGCTTAACTTGTAAAATATAACAAATCTGTAGTTACCTAACGGTAGTTTTGAAAGTAATACGGTCAAATACTTTTCAAGTATGTGTAGAAACAAATTACATGAGTAATCCTGAGTACTTCAACTTAGAAAATAAATATGAGAATATCTCATATTTCTGAGTATGGAAAAAATTACATTCAAGTGCCCTCTTATCAGCAGATTCAAACATAAATCATCTCAATTTATGGGACCACAAAAGTAATCAGAGTACTGACTCTCCTAACAAAGATCAAAAAAGTCCATCTCAAACCTGTAACATGCCAAATGTTTGAGTTCTTGGAATCGATTCTGAACCTTTGTGAATCGATTCTGAATCTTAATAAATAAGAATCCCGATTCAGACTTGAATCGATTTTTTTTTCAGCACCTCTAGTGGTTTATCCTTATGCTAGCAGCTTATCTGGTTCATTACATGCGACCAGCATGCGCTGGTGTCAGAATAAGGATAGAGGATAAAGCCTTCTGTGTCAGATGGGGTCAATTCTAAAAATGAGTCCAAGAAAGCAGACTTATTTTATCCGTGACCCACGCTCTGTGATGGGGCATTCAGCTGTGTGTTCTCCTAATGGACGGCTCTAAAAGGAAAATCCTGATTCGTATTCATGCATTCATTTGGTTTTTTGAGCTCCTTCAGCAGCTCTTCTCTGCTTGTATAGCAGTGCCGTCTGTCCATGTCATGATTCTGATCAGTCAAGCAGAAGATTAGGTTGAACTGACTGGTGTCTGCATGTATTTTAAATTATTCTAAATATGTCTACCCAGCTTTAGAGTTATAAAGTTATTTTTCCTAATTTGTACTGAAATAACTATTAATCACCAATAAACTGCACAAATCAGTGAAACGTGTCCTCCAGGGGGTGAACAGAAGATAATTGAGACTTAAACCAAACCAGGTTTGTCAGTTAGTTGCTCTGGAGCATACAGGCGAGTGTAAACACAGGATGACTTCAGCAATACACACTAAATTAGCTTGATTTTAGTATTGATCATTGGTGAAATGGGTGATAATATTTTTGCTTGTGTGCTTAAGCAAAACTAATCAGAAATCCATAATTTATCAACATGATGATAGTTTTAACCAACATTAAAGACAGTTGGGAACATGCTATCTCTCAAGGAATCATGGGACTTCAATGTTCTCATGTGAATGGAAGCAGATCGTTTCCTGTCACCAGAACAGAACAGAAGCACCATCTGTGCTCCATATAACATTCAGTAGATTTAAACTTCTTGTTTGATTCCAAACGGCAGCTCTTAGGTTTTGTGTGTCTTTTATTATCTTTACTGATAAAACATTCCCTGTAGTTCAGTTTCCTCTTGTGATTCCAGACTAAAAGTATAATGTGGAGTTTTGGTAGCCTGGCAAGCCATCCTATATATGTGTATATGTAGTCTTGCCATGAGTCTTAGAAAGTTGTCCTTCAAACTGTCTCTGCATGCAGTTGGACAGCGCTAGGACCAATCAGAACAATGAACAACGTGACGTATGTTCATTGCAGCAGTAAGTCAACGGGGCAGATCGCCAAACACCGTCAAAAAATTGCTAAAACATCATTTTTAGGACTTAAAGTGGGAGTCATGGCATGGGTGGAGCTTTATTTCATCCACACTTCCTGTTAGAAAAACGCTTCTAAAAGCGGCGTCGCCTGGTGGACCGAGACGGTGATAGACGGCATTCCCTCAACGCCCCCCGTGTGCCCTTTCGGAGCTTCTGCAGCATTCTGCAAGGTTTCTTGTCAACTGCCATCATTAGATGAAAAGGCTCAGAGCGCCAACGTGTCATATCAGCAGGTGAGTGGTTGAGCCAAGTGGAGGTGCTTCTTCCTCACCTGGAGACCAGTGCAGTGCAGCCACGTAGTAATTTGCAGACAACGTCACGTTTTTCAGCTCGGCCATCAGCCACAGCTGGTTCTACATAAACGTGGAGCCGAGTTTAACCTGAAGATGGAGATAGAATTATGGTTTGGGGCTGAAACGCATGTGTACGGCATCTTTAGACACTCACCTATACAGGTTATCAGCAAAAGAAGTTAATATAGGTGTTACTCGCTCTGTAAGTACCTTTATCTGCTCAAGAAGGTTCTAGGTCTAAACTGTCCAAAGTTGCAGCTAAAGCCATTTCAAACTAGCAATGTCCCTGAGCCAACACCAGTCGATCAAACCTTTATTTATGTAGCGCTTTTCGTCATCCTCGAGCGCTGAACACAGCACAGATAAAACATAGAAAACAAGACCCCAGTCAAACTAGAATCAGAAAACAAGGTCAATAAAAGAAAACATCATCTTTGTTGTTTTTCTCTGTCGCAGCTTCAGTGCAAAGCCAGCCCAACAAGAGCACTGTGATTGGCAAAGACACAACGGTTTGGACCAATGGTAGACCAGCTGAGGCTACAACAGAGCTAGATCAACCTGCAGCTGGACTAGATATGCTAGAGACTTGGACTTTAAGGGAGCTGACTACTTGCTGCAGGACTCCATGTTCTGTGTGTGTGTGTGTGTGTGTGTGTGTGTGTGTGTGTGTGTGTGTGTGTGTGTGTGTGTGTGTGTGTGTGTGTGTGTGTGTGTGTGTGTGTGTGTGTGTGTGTGCACGCAGTCAGGTGATAAAACCAGAACAACACACAGCTCTGCTTATTTTCTCTCCTCTATTCAGTAACAAGACTATTTTACTGTCAGTTTGAGTGTTAGCCGGAATAACACACACACACACACACACACACACACACACACACACACACACACACACACACCTGTAAACTGAAACACAAACCTCTCACATATCAGCAGCTTTTTTGTAATTATGGGGTGACGTTGACCCTGCAGAGCTTTGCCGCAGGAGGTGTGGTGATGTTCTGCAGCTGCGGCTATAACTAACTTGTGATTGGGTGTCCCACAGCAGGTGAACTTACTCACCTGCTGTCTGAGGCTCTGAAGAGTGAATTTTAAGTCGTGTTTCTGTAAGGAAAACCCAGCCCTAAAGGGTTTGAGTTTGATAAGGAGCAAAATGAATAAATGAAGAATGTGTAGGAACGTTAAACAATGAAGTTAGAGAAGCTACAACAGACCACCCTTCACTGGACAAACGTTGTGTTAGAAGAGTTTCTGCTCAAACTCTTTCAAACATTTTAACCCTCCCACTGTCCTATTGGGTGACCCCGTGAGGTTAGTTGACCCTTGAGGTCCACGTGGCAGGGGTGAGGTGGTGCTCACTCCTCACCCCTGCCACATGGACATCAAAGGGTCAACTTTTCTCGCGGGGTCACCCAACAGGACAGTGAGAAGGTTAAACACTTTGTGTAAATGAGAACACCTTTTAATTTCTGTTAGTGACGACTCAGATGTTCCTAATCAGTTCTGGATCGGTCTGCCTTCAGCTCCAGTTTAACGAAGGTGTTTCTAGGATTGCTGTCACCAGGGATTAGTTCTCCTTTGGTCCCAGAATGCACCTCTCAGCACTTTAATGCACCGACTTAGACAGAAGGATCTTCCTCCACCTCCCGACACCTCCTTTCTTTTGCTTTTATCTCCCACCAGCTCATAAATACACATTGATATTCAGGCTGTTGGCTTGTGCGGTCGCTTTGTTTTCTACAGAGGTTCAAGTTTGGAAGACTGGAAGCTTCAAGAGTTTTTTCTGTGTTTATCATCTTTAATTCATTTTATTGTTACTTTTTTTAAAAAAAGAGTCCGTTTTTATACATTTTGTGATGTTTTATTCAGAATTTCGTGCTTTGATGTTGATGTTGATGAGCTTGTGAGGGCATGGAAGCTCGTTTGCAACTCAAAAAGCCTCCAAACATAAAAATACTGAGAAAATAAATGATTATTTTGGTATTTAGCGATATTTATTAGACTAGAAACACTGACAGGAAGTCATTCAAGGCTTCTGGTGCACTTAACCTGCTTAGTAATGCATTACATAATACGGTTAAGCAGTTGTTAACACTTTAGTTAATAGTTTATTAATGCGTAATTATGCACTAATGTTCATAAAGGGACCCGTCATTGTGGGGCAGAAGGAGAGGGACGACAGACGTTCAAAAAAGCTTCAAGGTTGCAGAGCTTACACTTTAGCTGAGCTGCCTCTGTCGCATCCGGCAGATTTGTAGTCTGAATACAGGTCCAAGAATCCAATCATAGGAACCAAAGGTCCAGCTAAATCCACTGAATCCAGAAATGGATGACAGGAAAAAAAAAAGGTTTTTAGAGAAATGAGAACACAAAAGTAAGGAGCTGAAGTAAAGTCTGCAGGCTTCTGATCTTTTCTTTTCCAAATGTCTTTTAAACCCTTATTTCTGTTTCCTCTCAGTTTGAAATCTGAATAAAATATCTGTATCTGGTGGCTTCTGCAAGTTTGCTCTCCGTCAGATCAGATGCTCTATTGCTTTGTCCTCATCAAGTGTTATCGAATAATTATAAACATTTATATAACCTAGTATCAGCTTCATCAATCACGTCGTAAATCAGTTCCCGTTGTCATCTTTTCATGTCTAGCTGGACTACAGGGTCATCGACACCTCACCTCCTGTGACCAGGACATTCCCTTTCCCTTAAGGTAAAATCTTTTTCTTTGGGGGTTTAAATTATCGTTTGACACAAATTTCTCTTCGCTTTATAAAAATGTGTTTAATATTTTTGTTAATGTTTCTAAAATATACAAAGAAAATTCTAAGTTTAAGAAATACTGAAGTTTTCCAAAAGTGGTTTTCTAATTTGTAAACCCGTGTAGAACCATCTGATATGTTTAGTAGATCTGACCTCACCAACGTCTTTTTGTGGAAAAGAAGTTTTCCTCTTCAAGCTGCTTCATGTAAACACCAGTCGTGTTAAATTTAGTGAACGATCAGTCAAGTCCTGTTGAGGGACATGCTGATGTGCCTCATCAGGAGATAAAAGACTCAGAAGATCGATGGCTCTCACAATTTTATTCAGATTCAAGGAACACATTCAGATCATCTTTTCTAGAAGAGAAATGAACATTCAAGTTCAATTCAAGTTTATAAGGCGCCAAATGACGACAAGAGTCGTCTCAAGGCACTTCACATAGTAAAACATTCCAATACAGGTCAGTTCATTAAGCCAATCAGTAAAAAGTTTCCTATATAAGGAACCCAGCAGGTTGCATTGAGTCACTGACTAGTGTCAGAGTCTTTACAGCAATCCTCATACTAAGCAAGCATGCAGCGACAGTGGAGAGGAAAACTCCCTTTTAACAGGAAGTAACCTCCAGAGGATCCTGGCTCAGTATAAGCAGCCATCCTCCACGACTCACTGGGGATGGAGAAGACAGAGCACACACACACACACACACACACGCACACACGCACACACGCACACACACACACACACACACACACACCTGATGGGAGCCTGATAACTAAAAGATCCGCCTCCCATCCAATTTTTAGATATTCTGGGAATCACCAGTAAACCTGCAGTCTGAGAGCGAAGTGCTCGTTTAGGAACGTATGGAACAATCAGATCACTGATGTATGATGGAGCTTGATTATTAAGAGCTTTATATGTGAGAAGAAGGATCTTAAAATCTATTCTGAATTTAACAGGCAGCCAATGTAGGGAAGCTAAGACAGGAGAGATACAGTTGTGGTCAGAAGTTTACATACACTTGTAAAAAATATAATATAATGGCTCTACTGAGTGTCCCATTATTTCTAAAACTCTGATTTTTCTCTGATAGAGTGATTGGAACAGATACTTCTTTGTCACAAAAAACATTCATGAAGTTTGGTTCTTTAATGTCTTTATTATGGGTTAACAGAGAAAAGTGATCACATTTGCTGGGTCACAAATATACATACAGCAACATGATCTAGCAATTTAGGTGACTTAGAAACGTGTCAGTGAACTGAGCTTCATAGCATGGCCTCTTAACTTCTTGTGAGTGATTATGAGTGACTACAGCTGGTGACTTCTCTTAGGCCAGGTAAATAGGGCTCATTGGATACAAACGCCCACAAACGCTACAATGGGAAAGTCAAAGGAGCTCAGCATGGATCTGAAAAAGCGAATTATTGACTTGAACAAGTCAGGAAAGTCACTTGGGGCCATTTCAAAGCAGCTGCAGGTCCCAAGAGCAACAGTGCAAACAATTGTTTGTAAGTATAAGGTGCATGGCACTGTTAGATCAGGAAGAAAACGCAAGATATCACCTGCTGCTGAGAGAAAATTGGTCAGGAGGGTAAAGAGTGAACCAAGAATCACCAAAAAGCAGATCTGCCAAGAATTAGAAGCTGCTGGAACACAGGTGTCATTGTCCACAGTCAAACGTGTTTTGCATCTCCATGGACTGAGAGGCTGCCGTGCAAGAAGGAAGCCCTTGCTCCAAAAGCGGCACCTTAAGGCTCGACTGAAGTTTGCTGCTGATCACATGGACAAAGATAAGACCTTCTGGTGGAAAGTTCTGTGGTCAGACGAAACTAAAATCGAGCTTTTTGGCCACAATGCCCAGCAATATGGTTGGAGGAGAAAAGGTGAGGCCTTTAACCCCAAGAACACCATGCCTACAGTCAAGCATGGTGGTGGGAATATTATGCTGTGGGGCTGTTTTGCTGCCAATGGAACTGGTGCTTTACAGAGAGTAAATGGGATAATGAAGAAGGAGGATTACCTTCACATTCTTCAACATAACCTCAAATCATCAGTACGAAGGTTGGGTCTTGGGCGCAGTTGGGTGTTCCAACAGGACAATGACCCCAAACACACATCAAAAGTGGTAAAGGAATGGCTAAATCAGGCTAGAATAAGGGTTTTAGAATGGCCTTCCCAAAGTCCTGACTTAAACCCCATTGAAAACATGTGGACAGTGCTGAAGAAACAAGTCCATGTCAGAAAGCCATCAAATTTAACTGAACTTCACCAATTCTGTCAAGAGGAGTGGTCAAAGATTCAACCAGAAGCTTGCCAGAAGCTTGTGGATGGCTACCAAAAGCGCCTAATTGAAGTGAAAATGGCTAAGGGACATGTAACCAAATATGGCACTGCTGTATGTATATTTGTGACCCAGCAAATGTGATCACTTTTCTCTGTTAACCCATAATAAAGACATTAAAGAACCAAACTTCATGAATGTTTTTTGTGACAAAGAAGTATCTGTTCCAATCACTCTATCAGAGAAAAATCAGAGCTTTAGAAATAACGGGACACTCAGTAGAGCCATTATATTATATTTTTTACAAGTGTATGTAAACTTCTGACCACAACTGTATGATCTCTCTTTTTAATTCTCATCAGAACTCTAGCTGCAGCATTTTGGACAAGCTGAAGACTTTTAACTACATTCTGTGGGCTTCCTGAGAGTAATGAATTACAGTAATCCAGTCTTGATGTAATAAATGCATGAACTAGTTTTTCAGCATCACTCCTGGAAAGGATGCTTCTAATCTTAGCAATATTCCGAAGGTGGGAAAAGGAAATCCTACAAACTTGTTTAACTTGGGATTTGAATGACATGTCCTGGTCAAAGATAACACCGAGGTTCCTTACTTTGTTCTCGGAGATTAATCGAACATGTGGACACTCACATGGACACTCGTACAGCTGATCTCCAGGTCACATCACAAGCCTTAAGGCATTTAGGATATATAAAAGGAAAACATTCTCTAAGTTATCAGTAGTTATTTTTTATTATTGTTTGGACTGAATAAAATGTTATTGTTGGGTTGTGTCCTTGTGCTGAGGAAGATGAGGGATGTCTGTCTGGTTTAACACATTGATGGAAGAAAATGATGCAATCAGGGAATTGAAAACGTTCCCAAACGGTTCTGTTGTTGGTCAGTGGTACAGTTATCCAGTCACTCTGATTCTGAGCCTGCATAAAGAAAATGTGAGCTCTTATGTCGGGATTAAAGACATTCAGTCGCTGAAGAGATTCATTACCGTCATTAAATGAGTTTATATGTGTCACATCGGAGCATTTTGAGCAGAAACTTGTAATGAAAGAATAAGACCTTCATATCAGGCTGAGAGGAATGTCTGGTGACCTTTTGTTTTTAGTTTCCTCGTATTTTTCTGCCCTGGAGCCGTTTTCTGTTTAATGCTCCACAGGGGGAGCTGTGAAGAAGAAGATGATGATGATGATGATAACATCTTTTTAAGGGAACCGGGATGTTGGTCTGATTGCACACATTGTTTATACACTTTGTGTGTTTAATTGACTTTAATTTAATAATAAGACATTTATATAATAATGACTGTTGAATCTTTTGTCTGTGTTTTATCTTTTGGGGACATTCACACGTTTTGTCAACTGCTGAAACAATTTTAGCTTGTAGAAGGTTTTTATGACCGTTTCCAAGTTGCTGTGATGCACAAGAGGAGATTTTATTAGAAACTTGTTGTCTCCTATTAACAGTCAGCTGTTTCTGCTTTGAGAGAATAAAAGTCACCAATTCTGTGATTAAGTACGTAGTTTAAATGTTGCCATCAGAATGACCTGAACCAAAACAAATGTTTTAAAAAATCTGATTTTCTCTCTGTTTCTGTTGTATTTGTCAGTTTGTCACCATTAAAGAGGTTCTAGAGCAACCGTGTTTTTAACTATAGGAAACTGTGGAACTTTGTTGGGGCTCACTATGACCCAGGAGCCCTGATAAATGACCAAACACAACCCCATAGTAAAGCGCTAGCAAGGAAGATGACTTCGCCCCACCCACTCTGCAAGGAAATGAAAATTAAATCAGCTGCGTGCTGATTGGCCGGTAAACGCTGATGGCTATGACGCTGCCCTGACGCTAGTATTTCTGTGTCGAACTGTATCCAGATAACTCAAAAGGGAAGCAGTGGATCTATGTGACATTCATTCATAGTCTGAATATTCCCACTTCATACTAGAACGTCACATGTGTGATTCAGCGTTATTCTTTGTTTTCTTCTAAGGATGTTAGCAGTAGCTATGGCTAACGTTAGCAGTAGCTGGGGCTAGCATTGTTCTGTGGTCAGCGTTGCCACCATTGTTTATTTTTGCTAATGTAAGGAGGTGTGTTTAAGGACATGTTAAACCAACTTTTGTCACAACGAACGGTTTCTCGGCGGCCATTACAACATTTCTGATTTACACAGGAAAGCAGCTCAGAGACTGCACAAACCCGGTTGTAATTCCCAGCTGGTGGTTCTGATGAGTGGGCAATCCTCTCAGCTTCCCAGTTTCAAACGCTGCTGCAGGCAGAAGTACTCGGATTTACACGTCCTTATTGTCTTTGTTGCTTCCTGTTTTAAATCTGAGACTTTGCAGGAACGCAGCAGCTGGCCTCTTTTATCCGACTGAATTATTGACAGCAGAATTAACAAGCAAGTGTTTTTAGGTGAGAAACACTTCCACGGAAAGAAGACTCGTGTTGAGCTTAGAGTGACTCGCAGACAGAATCCTCTCTTTACTCTGCCTCCAAATCTGAGTCCGTTCATGTCGGTGTTGGATACGGATTGCAGCCGTGAATAAATATGAACAGTCAGCCAGAAGACAAAATGTGATCAGCAGTTTGCAGTGGAGGATAAAGGGAGCTCTGACAGGCTCAGGAGTTTTACAAGCTTCAGTGGAAC